AGGCTGCCATCTACTTACTCATCTTGGGACCATTGGGATTTGTCACCTCAGCTCTTTGCTCACTGCTCTGGTGTCACACACGTCATAGACCTGGTGGTGTGAATAATCCACTAATCCCTGTCTGTGAGTTGATGCACATTTAAAAAAAAATCTAGTCTAGAGTTACGAAAGAGCTGTCTGGAATGCGGGCCCTCACTTCCTCCTCAACCCTACAATACACTCAGACATTGTGCCTTTGCCCCATTCCAGAAGTCCTGTTTGCAAAGATACTCACATAAGGGCATCCTGACTTTCTTTGTTGTTTTGGCTCGGGTTTTGATTTTTATATTAACCCATCTTTATTTGTCCCAACTGCACTTCTTTGGCCCAAGAGCTAAAGGCTAAATCTCTTAAAAGACCTTCTGTTGAATGCGGGGGCCTCATTTTCTGACACAAATTCATCTGTTTGCGTGGTCTTTCATTCATTTGTTCAACCAGGAGTGTTAAGAGAATAATCTCTGGATTATCACACCGTTGACTTCCCGTCAGAATTCCAAGAAGGAGAGTTTCGTGAGCCCCAAATCTTAGAGGCTGAGAGTTCCTCGCCATCATGGGAGCAGAGGTGGAGGAGGCGAAGGCTTCCATGAGGGTTATTAAGGCATCACTGGGATCACCGTACCCACCTCGATGGTGCTTGTATGGAATGGGGGTGCTTTTGGTCACCAATACAGTGTCTCCCAAGCCCTTTGCCAGAGGACTGGGGAGATACACAGTAAGAAAGACCATGTCGGTCATTTTGACAATTGACTGTCTGCCACCTAGAACATAGTAGACAATAAATAACTGCTGAGTAGATTATGAATGACAGTTTTTTAGTTCTCTGAATACCACTGCTTGTAAGTAAGGGAGTAGAGGTGGGTTTGGGGAGTAGAAATCGAATTTCCTATCACTTCTATCTTTTTGTGGCTTATTGGAGAAACAGATACTCTCCCGTGCTCTTTGAGGCCCGGGGGTCTGTCCTGACCTGCTCCGGAGCCACATCGTGTAGCGCAGTCCCCCATGCTCACACTCCCCGCCTTCCTGCTGTTCCTCCTGCCCGCTGTCTACGCACGCCTTTCCCTCTGTCCTTTTCCTCTGCGAGCTGTCCGCTTCCTTCATCTCTTCGCTCTCCTCACTCCTCAGGGAGGCCTGCCCCAATCCTCGCGGCAAGGAAGGCTCCCCTGTTACATTTGCCTTGAGAGCAAACCCGTGAGGGCAAGGCTGGGGCAGATGGGCCCGGCACGGAATAGCCGGCGGATAAATAGCTGCGGAATGACTGAGGGAAGGGGTGAATGCGCGAGCAATGGGGAGGGGGTAAACTGAGATCAGGGACTTTCTTTACCTGGGGTCTGTGGGTGGGCTCCTGAAGCTGTCTGTGACCGTGAGTGCGGATCCACGAGCATGGGTGCCCGGTTTCTAAGGGGAGAGCCCATAGCTTTTGACAGACTGAAGAATTGTGGGGGCCAAGGGCAGGCTGCCCCAATATGGGCCACTTTGGCATGAAGATTATTTTGAGTTAAAAAGCCGTTGAAACCCAGCAGATTGAGGAACAGCTCTTTACCTCTCCCACAACCACCTAAAAAGAATTTAGGTAGAGGATCCAGGAAGAGAACTGTCACCACAGAGAATGACATTATGGTATGAACAAGGCACGGTAGACGGGGAAGAATGTGGCAAGGCCTATTTTTTTTTTAAATAAAGATTTTATTTATTTATTTGACAGAGAGAGAGAGAGAGAGCCCAAGCAGGGGGAGCGGCAGGCAAAGAGAGAAGCAGACTCCTCACTGAGCGGGGAGCCCGATGCGGGGCTCGATCCCAGGACCCTGGGATCAGGACCTGAGCTGAAGGCAGCCGCTTAACCAACTGAGCCACCCAGGCGCCCCTGGCAAGGCCTGTTTGATCCGAGTCCTCCATGTCCCATTGTTTGCCAGTGGCCCAGCACACATTTGCTTACCAAACATTTCCTCTTCTTCACCTTCCTGTGAATTGCGCTCTTCCCCTTGGAACTCCCAGACCCCTACCCCTTCTCCTTGAGTCAGAAGGACATAAAGTCCTCATTTTGCCTATCTTTGGAATTTCCATGTCTTTGTGGATTCCCTGTACATATGAAATTAAATTTGATTTTCTTCCATTAGTTTGTCTCCTGTCCACCTAGAAGGATTTTGAAGGGCAGAGGAAACCCTTCCTTTCCAACAGAATCTTTAAGGAGTTTCAATGAATATGTTTAATTATATGAAGAAAGGAGAAAAAGAAAAAAGGGGAAGGTGAGAAAAGCAACAAAGGATAAAGGGGAAATTAATAATGAGAAATGGAACAGAAGAAAGTTGAGAGAGGAGGGAGAGCCTGAGAGAAGGTGATGGGGGGGAGGTCAGTTATTCCTGAATGAATCCTCCAAACTTAGGGAGCCCAAGTCTGTGCAAGACCCTGTGTTAGGAACTGTCAGGGGTTCGATGAATAGCCCGATCGGACTGCCGCCCTCCTGTATAAGAGGAGAGTGTTCTGGGTAACTGCAATTGGGAGTGAATGGGATGAAATGATCCAAGAGAGGTTTAGACCAGAGCCATTTGCTAGCACAGCGGAAGGGAAATTACACATAGCAGAAGGAAGGAAGACCCTGGAAGACTTCCTGGAGGAGGGGTAACATTTCAACCTGCCCTTAACCAATGGGTAGGATCCCAAGGAGAGCGGAGAGGGGTAGGTGAGCACTCAGATGAGAGAACGGTGTAAATAGAGCTGCTGGTCCAGGAAACCAAGGTGGGTGATGCACAGGTTGTGGGACGCTTGACAGCCTTTGTGAAGCATCTGAGTTGGGAGCTGCCCCCGTTGGTCAGTGATAGGCACACAGCAGGTGGCACCTGGAATTACCAAGTGAGATGAACTTACTGAGAGCAGAACAGACTCAGGGAAGGAGTCCACCGCGAAGAAGTTCGAGGATGTGCAATGACGCAGCATTCGTAAGACTTCTGGCGAAAAGTAAGCTCATCGTTGACCCGCAAATGCGTCTCCCATATCACCTCTACAAATCCTGAAATGTGTCAGCTCTTGCACCTTTTAAAGAGGTTGTCCTTGTGCGATCTGGTGGGATACTGATCTCCAGATGCTGTCTTCTTCTTTTTGTTCTAAGATTCCTTGGCTTATGAATTCACACAATATTTAGATTGTGTAAGATTGAAATCCGTGTGAGGTGTGTGTGTGTTCATTAGTTGGTGCCACCGATTCCCTTTTAACTGGGTCAAGTTACACAGAGAGCTTCCATGTGGGAGCAAAGAAACCTGAGGAGAAGGTGCTAGATCTCAAGACACCCCTGTTCTGGAAGGACTCCTGCTCTCTGCTGCCATTACAAACTACTTACCGGGCCCAGGAAATCTCAGCACCTGTTTTCCCATTTGTAAAAAGAACTCTATCCTGATGGGCTTTCCTGGTTCCCTCCAGGAGTCCAGTGTCCCCAGAGGCGTGGCACGTGGCACTCCAAACCCAGCACGGACGGCCGCATAGACCTGAGCTGGAGGGGACCAGGAAGACGACAGAGCGTGGCTTGCCCGCTGCCTGCATACTTCCGTGAACTATTGCTGGGGAAGCGGACTATGGACCAGCCTTATCCCAGTGACACCCATAATCCGGGACAGGGCCATAACTCTGAGCTTGACCTTTCTCCCAGGCAGAATCACTGTGGAGGCCACGGTGGAGTTCGCAAGGGCTATGGGTGGGTTTCAGACAGACCCAGGGAGCCTGGCCTGAGGGATCCCTATGATCGCTAAGGGTCAGAACACGGGGTGAGTCAGTTTTTCATTCCTCTTTTACTGACTGGGATAAGAATATTTACCCCCCTTCTCCAGAATATGTTAGGGACTTGAGGCAGGGTTGATCCTCATTAAGACTGTAAAGCAAATAAGTTGAGCCTTTAATATCCATTTTTTTCCACCCACATTTCCCATTTAGAGGCTACCTTCCCTCAGCTGTCTTTTTTTCTCCCCTCCTTCCGACTATCCCATGGCATCTGGAGCTCCAGAACTTTCCAGATTTTTTTCTGCCCACCCGCTGGCAAAATCTCCTTTTTCTAAAACTCCTTCCCAGGACTAAAGGTCCCAGAGTGAATCCGATGAGCAAAATCTGATGAAAGATGGGCTGGTGTCTCTACTTGGTCCCTCAAGGATATTAAACACCTGATGGTCTGGGAATGAGAACAGTGACTTTACATTATTTCCAAATCGAAACTACATTTGACAACAGGCCTTCTGGCCCTTTACTGAGTAGCACAGGGGGTCCAAGGTGGTGGGGGAGACTGTTACAGTCCCGCTTACAAAAATTAGTAGAACATCTGTTGTTGCTCATCAGATTTCAGATTTACCCAATTTACCTCAAGCCTCGAGTTGCATAATTATTTAATGCAAAACTTGGATGGCAGATCGCTTCCATCTTGGGGATGCCTGGAAGCTTGCTGGGAAGCCATGTGAGGTGACTGCCACGTGTGGGAGGTGGGTGGGGCGAGCATCAGGATGAATTGGTGATGTCTGCCTGGGAGAAGGCGTGGGCAGACACTTGCAGACCATCAGGTGTTTATTATCCTTGAGGGACCAGGTAGAGACACTGACCCGTCTTTCTGGCCTGAGGGATGTCATCCACAGCCCTGCTACTAGAAGTGGGGTTCTCCGGGCAGCAACCACAGCTCTACACAGGAGCTTGTTAGAAATGCAGAATCTCAGGCCCCATGACCCTGCCCCCCCATCAGATTCTGCATTTTCACCAGCTCCCCAGGGGATTCGTATGCGCATGACAGTCTGAGACACAGGGGTGAGCCGGTCTTCCTGCCAGCTTCTCACTGCTGGAGCTAGTCCCTACACACTGGTTTTCTACAGCACATCAGCAGGGATCAGACTAGCTCCCTGTGTTCATGGGGGACACCCCCTTCACCCCTCTGCTCTGGGAGCTTTACTGATAAGGCTATTCTGTTTCTGTCTTACTATCGTCATTTCTGTCCCTAGGCGATCTATAAGATGGTTTCCTCTGTAATGAAAATGCCTGAAGATGAGTCAACCCCAGAGAAAAGGACAGAAAAGATCTTCCGCCAGATGGACACCAACAGAGATGGTAGGAGGCCGTGGCACTTGGCTTTGCTCAGAGTGGGCACTGCTGGAGGGACAGGGGCCACCCGGGCAGGCAGATGCCCCTCAAGGACAAGACATTAGTCGCAAGGACCTGGCTCACAGCTCTTTGTGAAAGGGGCTCATCCCGTATGTTCCCTGGCAGTGCAGGACAGAGAGGGACCCAGGTGGGACAGGCCTAGGCCACAGCAGGCTGGATCCCTGCAGGCCAGCTAATCAGAAAGCAGAGAGGGACTTGGTGTAATTCCACCCAGATCTGGTGGCTTTCACCCCAACCTGCCCAGGGCGTGCGGTTGGGCTCTTCTGCGCACGCCCTAAGGTGTTGGGTTTCCTGGAGCCACGTAGTCTTCCCCAGCCTGTGTGGGCCAGGGGAGGAGGGGAGCGAGGTGGCCAGCACTTTCCACCTGGAGGAATTCAACAAGAGGATTCAAAACAATTCAAACCCAACAAGAGAATTCAAAACAATCCAAAGTGAAAAGGAAGGCTGGATTTCAAACTCAAGATTAGTGGATTTTAGATGTTGGGTTGCCAGATGGAATATAGGAGGCCCAATCGACTTTGAATTTTGGATAAAGAACAAATGGTGTTCTTTAGAGAAGTGTGTCCTATGCAATATTTGGGACACACTTATATGAAAAAAGTTATCGTTTATTTGAAATTCAGTGTTAACTGGGCATCCCGTATTTTATGTACCCCATGTGGCAACCCTATTTAGATGTGACACCTGAATTTGAGGTGCTGAGCTCTGAGCCTGCTGCGGAGGAAACCCAGTCTTCTGCAGCCCTTGCTGTTATTACCAGCTCCCCTGTTCCGCCGGGTGTCCGCGGCAAATCTTGTCAGCGATGCGCAAACGCTTTCCTCTACCCCAAATAGCACCGGTGGACAGAACGACGGGAGGCTTTGTAGGTAGCACAGGGAGCCTCTCTTTCTATCCCCATGCCCCTCCGGGGCACTGGCTGCTGCAGACTCTGGCTTTCCGGGGTGCAGGCCAACCTGTTTGCTTCCTGCGCAAAGATGCTATTGCATCCCATTTCCCCTACTGTACCTTAATTCACAGCGAAGAGCTTGTTTTGTAAGACTAAACACCTGGGGTCGTTTAATAGTTCCTGAGCTTGCCGATTTAAAGCCGCACGGTCCGCTGGCGCTCCAGGGGAGCACTGGTGGCTTTGCGTCCTGCTCCTGCCCCGCCCCTGCATAGAGGAGCGCTGTAGGGTGACCGGCAGAAACCCTCACTGTGCGCGGGTCACAGGAAAGGGGTTAGGGGCTCGCTACGAGGGCGTCACAGAGCCCCAATTGGGCTAGCAGTCCTGCTGCACATCCGGCTGCTGAAAGCCCTGTGCTTTCCTGGTGGGGGGGGCAGGGGGGGGGAACCGTACCGGGGAGGGGGAGGGGTCGAAGACTGGGCGCGGTCAGAGGAATCAGTTCGACCCCGAGACCTGGTGCCCTCACCTGGAGCAAAGACCTCACCGAGAGGCTCCCGCCATTAGATTCCTCTTGGTAGAAGCGCTTTGCCTCTAGCCCCTGGCCGTGGACTTGAAAAGTCTGGGCCCACAGGCAAGTCAGCCCTGGAGTCTACTCAGACGCACACACGGGAGCTGACCCAAGAGACCCAGCCACCGAGGAAGAATGCGGGGCTTGCCCCGCTGCTGCAGGCCGAGGTTCCCAGCGCTCACCTTGGGGAGATCCCCAAGTGTTCAAGTGGCCACTTCCATCCGCCCTCCCTCCCTGGAGCCAGCCTTTCAGACCTAAGAAGTCATCACCGTTTCAACCACTACCTGAGCAGACCACAGCTCTCGAGAAATGGCCAGGACACAAAGCCTAGACGTGGCCTGCTCTATGTTAAAAATAAATAAATAAAAGCCCACCTTTCTCCTTTTTGTAGCTAAAGTAGATTTGGTCAAACAAGAACTCGGTGCTGGGGGAGGGGATTGTGGTGAAGGGGAAGACATATTTTGATGTCTCCCAGTGGTGGGTGGTGAGGGCTTCAGTGGGTGGCGCCCCTCCTGTCTGGGTTTGGAATCAGTTGAGAAATAAGGGAGCAATCAGTGAGGTCGAGGATGTTGTTTGTGGGAGGGAGGAACCTAGTGTGAGAGCCCGAGGGCCTGCAGACAAGCCCCAGAGCAGCAGGGAGCCTGGCGGGCAGGGACATCCTTGGAGGGCCGAGGGGGCAAGTCCTCTCTGGGAGCTTCTATCTAGAGCAGGCCCAGCTGCTCCCCCGCCAAGGATGGGACCTTCTGAAAGCACCAGGAAGGGGGGAGAAGCTTTGCCCTCCCCAACTATATGACAGATGGACCTTCCAGAAGAGAAATCAATACATATTCCAGCTTACTCTGGAAGGAAAGGGACACACGTATAAAAGTGGGATCCCAGGGGGTCATGTCTCCCTCCTCCAGCCTGTTCTGATTGACCCCAGGGACCCAAGGACTCCCCTCTGCCTCGTGCACACACCCCTTTCTTCTCCTTACTTTGCATGGAGTGGCAGCCTCCTCACATGTTGGCCTCCCCCCAGATATCTGTGCGGGCCCCTCTGCTCACATGCAGAGAGAGAGAGGGACTCTTGCAGCAAAGCTAAGGCTATCCCAAGGAGGCCAGAAGGCTCTGGGGACACCGGGAACCCCGTGATGGCCTTGGTGCGCCAGGAGTGCAGCCTGCTTTCTTAAAAAAGGCAAAGGCCAGCTATCTGTTGCACAAATACCCAGCGAGAACCGCCCACCCCCTCCTGGGGCGAGGTTGGGGGACAGGTTGGGGGGGTGGGGGGATGAGCGCACGTCCCCGCAGCTGCCACCAGCCCCCGCTCACCTGTCCTCTTGCTTTCTAGGAAAACTGTCCCTGGAGGAGTTCATCCGAGGGGCCAAGAGCGACCCGTCCATAGTGCGCCTCCTGCAGTGTGACCCCAGCAGCGCGGGCCAGTTCTGAGCCCCGCCCCCCACGGATCGTAGAGCTGCTTGCGTCCCCTTTCCACCTTTCTTTTTAACAATTTTTTTTTTTTTTTGCCGATCAATATTGATGGTGACGCTGTCCCCCACCCCCACCCCCGTGCGGTCAGACGCACCTTCCTCCGTGACGCCTTCGGCTTCCTTTGTCGGGGGGATGCCCAGAGCCCCAACGCGCTTGTGGAGAGCATGGACGCGCTGTCATGCAGACTTTGTGGTGTTCCTTGTTCCTTGATTTTCCATCGTTCTTATTGTTTTTCTTCTGATTCCAATGTCTGTTCTCAAACCGAAGACTCGGGGAGGCAAGAGAAGGGAAAGCAAGCCAGTCCGGGATTCTGTGGCCAGCTTCCAGGGGCCTGTTTGAAAAACAAAACTCCCCAGCTGGGTCTGGAGCCACAGGGGCAGCCCTCGGGGTGATGGCGCCTGGTGCCGGCTTCCCAAGGACAAGGGACCCTGTGGGGCCAGGCTGTGAAAGCGCCCTGGAGGCCTCCACTCCCCCTCTTCCCCAGCGTGCTGTAGTGTCTAAGCTGTGAACATTTCAAGATAAATTCATAGAGAAGAGGAAAAGATGGCTCAGCTGTTTCTTCACACGTTTACACTAGTTGAGCTAAGCTGAGTTTCTTTGGAAATTAAACACAAATGGTAACTTATATAACAAAACCAGACCCATCTTGTTGCCTATTGTGATTAAAAAAAAAAAGAGTGCTGTATATAAAATATTGGGTATTGCAGACCAAATTAAGTGTTTTGCCTTGTTTAAATGAAATGCATGTTTAGTGAGCACTAATACAATCTTATTACAGAAGACTGTTTTTAGTAGCTTAATGTGAAGTAAGCCAACTATAATGAATGTCTGTGTCTTGTTTTAAAGTCATATCTGTCTTTGCACAAATGCACCAATCAACAGGTATATTTTGTATATTCCAGAGAAGTACAAAGTCACCATGACTAGGGCGCAACCTTAATTTTGAATGCATTTCCAGAGTGGTAGTGCCTACAGAATAGAAGTAGGACAGGTTTAAGTGGGACATGTCCATTGGAGCCCCAGAAGGTTCATCTTTATGAGAGATGTGAGGTGATGGTTAACCCACTCAGCCCAGCGGCTCGATGGTATTAGATTGGAGGTACAATGTTCTTCTGAGTAGATTAATATTCTGTCGACCCGAAACACACACACACACACACACATACACATTCTTGAGACTTCCCTTTGGTTTAATCCACATTATGGTTAGGGAGCTGTATCTGCAATGTTGACTATTTCATGCCCCTGGTGGCCCTTCAAAGAGTCTGAGATTGGGCAATGAGCTGACTCATTGTGAAGAAGGCATGGCCCAGGGCGTCTGTGCTTTCCAGGGCCCACTGTGGGGAATCCAAAAGTATTTTCCATCACCATGTTCTTTGAATGCCAATTTCTATTTTCCAAAAGTGACAGTGCAAATTTGAGTCACTCTTTGGTCTGGTGACCTCACACACACTAATTGGAATTGAAAGTGGAGTAAAAATTGCTGATCACAAGTAAGTCAGTCATATTTTCACAAGTAGTAGGCCTGGGGAAGTCCAAACACTCAAGGACATAGATGGGGAGGACCTGCTCCGGGAGGAGGCAGAGAGGTCCCGAGTGGGTTTATCTGCAGCCAAGCTACTTTCTGTAGACCATGACCCACAGAAAGACAAACATAACTATGAGGAAGATGATGCTGAGCCCATTCTAACTCCAGATTCTTCTGTATTACTTGAGTCCCTTTTAACTGGTAGCAAAAATCTGAATTTGTATGGTTGACCAAAATGAACCAACTTTGCAGGATGAAATCTGGAGACCTAGACGTGGTAAAATCATCTTCATCTTCCTCTGAGTGTCCATTCCTCACAGTCGTCTATCCTGAGACTTGCTAAATTCCTCCATGGGCCAAGTGGTAAGATCTGGGTTTGAAAACTAGGGAATTAAATTAAGAGACGGAGGGCACAGTGAGTGATGTTCAGGAGGTGCATCCCACTGCTCTGGACTGATGACCTAATTCCCCCTTTCAGTTCTCCTTAGGAGGGGAGTCAGTTAATGTTTGGGCAAGCCCGCCTAAGCTCTACCCTCGGTCAGGACATCTTGTTGAGCCAGACTCACCCAGCTCTCTAGAACTGAGAGCTGGAGTGAGGAGCAAGGAAGAGGGGCTCCAGCTGTTTAGGAGAGAAAACAGAGCCAGACGCCTGGCTAATGAATGCCGACATGCCTCGGATGTACGCAAATAGTCTTGTCCTGGCCTGCCATTAACCCTGTCTGTATTTTCTTGATGGTAGTTTTTTTCCTTCTACTCCTTCCCAGGAAGGGCTTTGTATGTCTAATCCAATGCACTTAAATTTGGCCAAGGGACTCCGCAGCACCCAGAAGGCTGAATGACTAAAGGTTTAGGTCATTCCTTTGATGGGCTGTTCATTGTCATTGCTGTGATGCGGGACCTCTGGAAATGGAGTCTGTTCTGTCTGAAATTAAGCCAGTCTGTGATGTTCAAGGGACTGGAATAAAGTGGCTTATGACTTGAAGGACGATACAGAGTCATACTCTTGCTTAGGGTGGGGAAGGGGTGCTGAGGGTGCTGTTCCATCCCTTCTGTATGTCCCAGGGGACCCTCTCCACAAATGGATTTAATAATGTACAATTGACCCTTGAACAATAAGAGTTTGGGGTGCAGAACCCCTGCGCAGTCAAAAATCCACATATAATTTCCGATTCCCCGGAATTTAACTCCCAATAGCCTACTGTTGACCAGAAGCCTTACTGATAACAAAAACAGTCGATTAATGCCTATTTTGTATGTTATATGTATTTTACACTGTATTCTTACAATAAAGTAAGCCAGAGACAAGAAAATGTTATTAAGAAAGTCATAAGGAAGAGAAAATACAGATACAGTACTGTCCTGTATTTATTGAAAAAAATCTGCATGTAAGTGCACCCGTGTAGTTCAAACCCATGCTGTTCGAGGATCAAGTGCATATATTTACAGATCCCATCATATGGAGTGGCCCCCATATCATGACTTCATGTCGCTTGAGCTTGGCATTCAAGCACATTGATTGTTTCATGTGATTATTTGGGACATGAGGGTCCTTTGCCTAAACTGCTGCCCCAGCTGAATCTGCCTGAGGGTCCAGGTACCTATACCGCGCCCCCCCCCCAGGTGTGGCTTCTGCCCTAAAGACACAGGAGCCGGGGCGGGGGGGGGGGGGTGGAGGTGCTGAGCCCAAAGCCCTGTCCGAAAGCATCCTTGGTCCGCGCATGGGCTTTCTTGCTTCTCTCCACTCACGTACGTCTCGGCCTTCACTTTCATCTGCCCTCGCCTCCTTCCTCATACCTGGAGCTGCGAACTCTAACCCAAACTTTAGGTGCAATGGAAGGCGACTTCCTCTTCAGTGACAAATGAACATCCTCTTCTCCTCTCTCACCCTCTCCGTCTGGAGAAGAGTCAATAGAAAACATGACATGATGCAGACTCCACACCCTCAAAGCAAATTCAGATGAGGCTTGATTTTTTGTTGTTGTTTTTTTGTTGTTGTCATTGGCCCTACCTCCAGCACAGAATTCCATTAATCTAGGAAAAAGGGACTGAGGGTCAGCTATAGTAGGTGACTTGTGGGCCAACCAGACCTCCCGTAAGAACTGAGTTGGCCTGCGGGGTTCTGTCTTTACTTCACAGTTTGTCCCTATGGACCAGCAATGGCTACTCACAAGTACTGAACATGAACAACACCCTGTCATTCATGGCACCGATGATGAGGTGGCTGGCAGCCGCCAACCTGATCAGGAGCCTGCACTCCTGCACCTGTTGGAGGCCAACCTAGCAATTTCTAGCAAATTTCCAACACTGGGGCTCCTATTTTCAGGGCATTGTCTTAATACCCAACCCACCTGGATCCCCTCACAGCCTAGTGCAGGCATGGAGGGGGCACACTGGTAGAGGAGGAATCTGAGTGTTCCCCTAAGTCGAGGTAGAGAGATCACAAGAACTGTCTTTGGAAGAAATGGAGATACTTCAAACATGCCTCTCTTGGCTTGGGTATGCCCAGCACTCTGTTGAAATTTTCTTTTTTGGGGCACCTGGGTGGCTCAGTCATTAAGCGTCTGCCTTCGGCTCAGGTCATGATCCCAGGGTCCTGGGATGGAGCCCCACATCGGGCTCCCTGCTCCGTGGGAAGCCTGCTTCTCCCTCTCCCACTCCCCCTGCTTGTGTTCTCTCTCTCACTGTGTCTCTCTCAAATAAATAAAATCTTAAAAAAAAAAAAGAAAGAAAGAAATTTTGTTTTTTGAGGTGGCTGAAGAAACAAGAACATTGAGACTTGTATTTTCCGAGGCAGTAGAATATCAGCTAAATCCACCTAAATAGAAAGGTTGTTGCATAGTGAAAAGATGTTCAGGCCAAGGGTATAACTGATGGTATATTCATTTCAAACAGGTTTCTCTATACTTGAACGCTGACAATGACTTAGATAGGTCCTGGATACTTGCCACACTGGATGTTAATGTGCCATGCATGGTCCCAGACATCCCTGGGCTTACAAACAATGGTCATTCGGAGAACATTCCACACTGTGGAGCTAAGCCCCTAGGGCATCCCAGAGGGGGTAAGGGCCTTAGAGAGGCTTATTTCATGACTTCTTTTCTCAGCACTATTCCAGGAAATAGAAGGCACTTTAAGAGTTCTCTAGAAGGGATGGTCAAAATACTTCAAAATTCTGGGCAGCTCAGCCTGCCGACCTTATTAAATACTCACAGCTGCTACCAGTACATCATATACATGTAGACAGACAGATGGGCAGACTCAAAAAATGTATCTTTCCAATACCAGTATTTAACCATTTTACTGTGCTCGCACTGAGTGTTCAATGGTGACCCAGCACAATACCAAGTGCTATAGTCTTGGAGGTGTGTGTATGTTAGGGGGTGGGTAGGAGGTATTAGCAAAGACGTAGGAGACCAAGCTCACAGTTCAGCTGGTAAGTTTTGTCTAGCATCTTGAATACAATCACCAAGTAATCTACGTCTACAGCAGAGCAGAAATCAAGTTCTTTCCTGAGTGGTGCATGAGAGGTATTTGCTACGCAGGAAAAAGCTGGTAACATTTGCCTTTAGTGCCCTTTCAACATCCCCTTCTCTTTTGCTGCTTCTGGCTGATCAGAGCCTCCCTCCCCCACTGTGTTTCCTAGAATTCCAGTCTCCAAAATTAACCCATGCACCCCTTTAGCAGAGCGCAGAGAAGTATAGGGATGAAAGACCCTGAGGACGAAAGGTATAACAACAGCCTAAAGTGGTAGACCAGAAAACCCTTTCAGGGAATGTTTACTTTTAAGAGTAGAGCCCCAGTGAATTTCTATTGGAGACCTTTTAGAAGGGGTTGGCTGTGGTCACTAAAGGGGGCTCTTCAGATCTTTCCTTTTGAGACCCTGCTGCTGGAAGCACAGCTAGCTGATTGAAAGGCTCCAGCTGCAATCTTTGGGGCCACCTCAGCATTTACTCCGAGGCCACGCTCTCTGGGGCTGCTCCCAGTCAGTGACTGCACATGGTGGGGGTATTAGAATTGAGCCATTCTTGCCCCACATGGGATTCTTCTGCGGGTGACCTTCGCTCCAGGACTCTCTGCGGGGCCTGGCTGAGGCAGTGTGAGGCTCCTCCTGCCCAAGCTTCCTTCCTTCCTTTCCTTCCTTCCTTCCTTCCTTTCCTTCCTTCCTCCCTCCCTTCCTTCCTTCCTTCCTTTCCTTCCTCCCTCCCTTCCTTCCTTCCTCCCTCCCTTCCTTCCTTCCTTTCCTTCCTTCCTTTCCTTCCTTCCTTTCCTTCCTTTCCTTCCTTCCTTCCTTCTTCCTTCCTTCCTTCCTTTCGGAGGGGTTAGTCCACATGCTCTCCCTGTCTCCCCCTGCTCATTTCCCCTTTAGCACTCACATGAATTCCCCCAATAAATCTCTTGAATGTCTAATCCTATCTTGACTTCTGCTTCTTGGAGGACCTGAACTGACACAGTGACCATCCCCTCCCCCATTCCCATTGACCCTCAGATATATGGGCTCAGACATTCGAGTAGGTGGCCTTCCCAAAGTGAGATTCACATTGGTGATTTCTCATGTTGTACAAGAAGGGTTAAGGGTAGGAGGGGTTGTGTGCCTTAGAATTGGGGTGATGACAGAGCCCTGGCTCTCCCAGGGTGAGCCCTTATTATTGTGCTAATCATGCCAGGCCACCTTCACTTTGCACAAACATCACTGCCTCTTTGTCCCCAGCCTGGGGCACAGTGCCTGGACCACAGTAAGTGAACTGAATTAGCACAGAGAGTGGAAGGCAAGTCAGGGTTGGACCCTGTGGCCCTGACAACTGGTCATCCTCATCTACCTG